AGAGGTGTGTTGTAAACCTGGTGCCAAGGTGTCTGCTCTATGGAAAGCAGGGTAAATAGGTTTGGGTTTTTTTTTAATTAGACAAAAGAAGCATGAGTGAGTAGAGTCAGGCTCACACATACCCAGTGTTTTAATTTTTGCTTACTGTTGTTGAAGTTGGGGTTTTTAGAGTTGAAGTTGCTAAATGCAGCTCTCTCTCTCTGCTGCTAGATTCATTCCGACAGTGTTGCTTCTCCTGGACTAGAGGAGAAAGAAGTGTGGGAAATCTGTTTTGCTGAATTTGCCTTTGCTAGGGGATGCTGCTATATTGGAATAGTTGATGAATAGTAGTTAAATAATGTATTATTTTGTTCAGTACTTTAATAGAGTTAAAGTTATGCCATTTCTTCTTTCTTGTTTGTATTTGAACTGTGGTGTAAGAATAAAGGGTGTTTTGCTTAAAGCCGTGTAGTTTGACCAATTGAATCACATCTGGAATGCAGCACCTTACACTTGCCCATGAACAAGATAGGGTCTAGGCTATCTCCTTGGTATTTTGAGGTGGTTTGTTCTGGTCCATAACATCACCCACAGGTTACAATAAAGCATGAGAGAGATTGCTTGTTATAAAAGTGTATTTCAACATTTCTACTAATATGTTTTTGTCTTTTCTTTGCAGGATATCAAACTTAGTGAATATGGGTAAGGATCCAAACATAGCCTGTTTTTTTTAATGCAACTGATTGAACTATTTGTTAACTTTACGATTTCTAGTTCAGCGGTATCTGGAAACAGGAATTATTCGTATAGATCACAGAATTCTGGGCAATATCTGCTAGGCCTGTAGTTGACACTGTAACAGTTTTTAGTTATCTTAAATCAGTCTGTTTGCAAATATCATGACATATTTCAGTGCAGGTGGAACTCAAACCTAGCAATAACCTGTGCTGGTTAACACTATTTTTAAACACTGCATCACATCCGACTTGTGGTGTTTCTGCAAATAACTAATGGCCCTGATCTCACTGCGAGCAGCAAAGCAGCTCTACTCACCACTGACCACAAAGAAACCCTGCCCAGAAAGATCCAGCAATCGCTGGTCTGGGATATTCCCATCAATTTAGATCTGACACCCAATCATAGGGACTTCTAGACAACCATTAGCAGCGATGTCTTCAAACAAGGTAGCCAGCCAATCACACTGAAGCATTCTCACAAACCAGGGAGTAAAAAACATTGAAATTTTCACTTTTACTGTGTTTGGTTCGCTTGCCAAGCTGGTTCGTTAGTTCACATGCGAGCAACAGATCTACTCATGAACCTTATTTTCACTTTTAATTAAAAATGTAATGAATGAAATAAATAATTGGTACCTTATATATTGGATTAAGTTAGGAGATGAAATACTAAAAACAAACCCTTTTCAAGTAAAATCAAAATAATTCTTTTCATTGTGGAGAAATTTGACATTCTACAAATATAAAATCAGGTTTACAGGGGCAATGAAATTGTTTAGTATATAATTTAAAACCCACTTACATTGGATTTAACTCTGCAACTCTTCAGAGCATTGCTAATTGTTGAAAAGAAAATGCTCCCTTCAGTAGTGATTTTTAATTTTAGTATTGCTGGAAAAAGGTACATTTTGTCAACGCTTTTTGTCTTGCACACATCAAGACAATTTGCAAGGACACACAAAAATTTAAATGAAAAAAAACAATATTTTTACTCTACCAGAGGAGTATAAACATTGTTTTCCCATTAAATTGGTACTTTTGCAAACTGTCCTGATCACAGAAATTGTACAATGCAGAAAGAGGCCATTTGGCCATCGGGTTTGCACCAATCCTCCGAAGCACATCCCACTCAGACCCAGACCCCTGCCCTAACCCCGTAATCCCACATTTTCATCATAACTAATCCACCTCGTCTACACATCCCTAGACACCACGGACAATTTAGCACTGCCAATGCACTTAAGCTGCACATCTTTGACTGTGGAAGGAAACCAGTGCACCTGGCAGATACCCATACAGACATGGAGACAACCTGCAAACTCTACAGATAGTCACGCAAAGCTGGAATTGAACTCTGGTCCCCAGTGCAAATTCCCAAAGCACTCAAATTCTGAAGTACCAAACAACAGTTTATATTTTATTGTACTCTGGAGGGATTTCAACAATGTTCCCTATGAATAAATGTATAAGTATTGATAGTAACTTCTGAATTTAACTGCTTTTAACCATGTACATGCAGCCTCTTTAATTTGCTGTTAATATGAGACCAGTTATGACAAGTGGTGGGAGATGTAAAGATCACTGCAACACAGAGATTTATGCAGAAGTAACATTTGACAGACTGGAGGTTATCCAGTAAAATCTGACAGTCTTTGAAGGTGAAGGCATTGTCCACAACAGCAGAAATTAATCCTGGCATCTGCTGTGCATTGCAACAGAAAAGATTTTATCTATTTATATCCACATAAAGATATCAATCACATCAGTTGTATCATAATAGTTGTCAAGCTGCTGAACCAATGGAGGATGTGTTCTGCTGGGAGGGTTATAGTGTGATATAACTGGAAATGACAAATAGAGTTGAAAAAAGAAATAGATGAGGCAAACTAGACAGATAGAAAAGGCCAATGCACAGAGGCTGCATTGAAGTAAAAGAGAGAGCTTAAGATCAAAGTGGGTAAAACAATTTCATCTATTTAGTTTATTAGAGTAGCACACGATGTCAATTCAAAATTCATTTTAAATAAATTAAAAATTAAGCAGATTGCTTCTTAAAAGGTGAGATATATCAAAAGTTAATACGAAAGCTGGCTACTGTTAGCAATGGAAGGTGGACATTAGCGGTAAAGGTAAGCCAAGTATTGGAATGCCCTGTAAAATAAACAAACTTCCCATTTAAATGTACTTATTTCTGTTATGCCCAGATGTAGCAAAACTGGGAGAGAAGTGAAAAATCCTAGGAAGCAATTTAATATTGTAAATACTGATAGGAACAGCAAGTATATGTCACGCAGGCTGCCACTGGACCAGTTGTACAGGGCCTTGGTGGGACCACACCTGGAATATTGTGCGCAATTTTGGTCTCCTTTTCTAAGGAAGGATGATCTTGCTTTCTCTCTCGAGAGAGTACAGCGAAGATTTACCAGGCTGATTCCGGGGATGGCGGGTCTGACATCTGAGGAAAGACTGACTAAGTTGGCGTTGTTTTCGCTAGAGTTCAGATGAATGAGGGGGGAATCTCATAAAGACTTATAAAATTCTAACAGGACTGGACAGGGTAGATGCAGGGAGGATGTTCCTGATGGTGGGTGTGTCCAGAACCAGGGATGAAGATTCAGGGTAGACGATTCAGACTGAGATGAGGAGACATTTCTTCACCCAATGAGTGGTGAGCTTGTGGAATTCATTGTCACAGGAAGTAGTTGATGCCAAAACATCAAATGTATTCAAGAGCTGACTGGATATAGCACATGGGAAGAATGGGATCAAAGGTTATGTGGAGAATGCAGGATTAGGTTACTGAGTTGAACAATCAGCCATGATTGTGAAGAATGGCGGAGCAGGCTCGAAGGGCCGAATGGCTTCCTCCTACTCCTTTCTTCTATGTTTCTGTCATGTCCATGCTGAACAATAAGAGACATCTAGCCTCGTCCCATTTTCCAGCTGTTTGTTTGTAGCTTCTCAGGTTATGGCACTCGAGCTTAAAACCAAGTTTTCTTTGAAATCTGATGAGTGATTCTTCTTCTATTGCACTTTCAAATAATAAATTTAAAGCCCCCAACTACCTTCTGGGCGAAATACTTTCTGCTCAACAAATAAACGAAAGTCGATTGTGGCAGGAGATTTGCTCTGCTTCGGAAAGCAATGAAAGATGCTGCTGGAGAAACTGGTAGCGATTGTGGTTTTCATTTGATACTTGATAAATCACCAACTGGAATCTGTTGTGTTCTTTTTATTCCAAGTTATGCAAGGAGAACAGAGAATGAAATCCAGGCCATTAAAATTGACGAAATCAGATTTCAGAAGTTATCAAAGCTCATACGGAACATTTCAACAAACTTATATTCGCAACTGCTAAGGAAGACATTTTTATTAGGTACAGTGTGCTATATCTTAACTATTCATATCTTCTTTACCATTTGTTTATGCTGTATATATTCAGATAAATTGTAGATAAAGTTCAGTTCAAATATTTTGTTAGCCTGATCAGCAAAAAAGAACAGAGAAAAAGTAATTCTCCAGTAATCTTACAGAGGCCAATTCAGCCAAATCCAGTAATGAATATCTGTTACTTTTCTAGCATTCTGTAATAAATATAAAAAAACTCCTGTTTTATAACATTATATGGTTTGTCTATTCATAAATGAAAAATTAACATGTAGAAATGGTAACACTCGTGTTAACATGCAGGGCTGCTGTATTGCAAATGGACTGCACCAAACTTTACCTTTTTCCAAGCAGACTAACTGAATTTTTTAAGATTAGGAAGAGGATCTGATGAAATTGATCATGGTAAATCATTCATTGGCATAGAAGAGTCAAACACCAAAGGCATAGGTTCAAGATTACGAATCAGGTGTAACAGTAAATGAGGTGGAAAATTTCTTTCATCAAGTAGCAATCTATGGAAATAAGCTACCCATTAAAGGCCACTGAACCAGAAATCATGTCACATGAATAACAGCAGTTCAAGAAGGCAGTTCACTACCACCTTTTCAAGGGCAATGAGGGATAGACAATAAATGCCAGTGACACCCATACTCCATGAGCGAATAAAAAAATGTGGGTTCAAAAGGACAATTAAATGTGATTCTGCATTTTTTGATTTGATTTATTATTGTCACATGTACCTAGGTACAGTGAAAACAACAGATAAATTGAGGGCTATCTCTAAGAGATGTGTATTTCAGGTCTAAAAACTATTTCACAATTATAACACTTTTTATGCTCTTACAAGTTGTCCGTTATAAAAGAAAGACAACTTAAACAAAACATTACATGGCACTACCAAAACATGTCATATACATTGATGGGGGCAGTAATTTCCAAACAGCATATGAAACTGTTCGATCTCTCACACTTTACGACTGTCCTGATATCAATTCTGGCTTTTCTAGAAGCAAAGTATTAAAGATTCATTTTAACACAACTCTCAAACATTGCATATTTTAGTTTGACTGTGTACACAAAAAGATAGAACATTTTTGAACCAGATTGCAAGGTGGAGGATATTATTTACTTCAACTTTAAATCTACAAAACAATTCACGTTAACTGACACTGAAACATGGAGTATCAAACTGAAAGATCCGTGACTATGAATGTGTTTATTTTCTAAGAAGAATCACATAACACTAGTTACTTCAAATACAGAAAATAATAGAAATGATTTTTAAGCCATTTATCAGACACCTACTCTTGCTGGAAATGCTGATTGTAACTTCTTTTCTGCATCCCTAGAGTACTCACCAGTTTTCCTCGACACTGCATCAGCACATAAAAATGTGCTGGTTTCAAAGGACCTAACCTGCATGTCCGTAACCACCGAGTCACTAAACGTTCCTGAGAGCCCTCTGCGATTTGACAAGATCTATAATGTCTTAGCTGTCAAAGGTCTGATGAGAGGAAAGCATTACTGGGAGGTGGACATCAAGTCTTCTGCACAATGGTGTGTCGGAATTGCATATGGATCCATAGATCGGAAAGGGAAGCACAAGTCCACAAAATTGGGAAGAAACAGACAGTCATGGTGCATTGAACTAAAGGCTAATCAACTTTTAGCTTGGCATAACGGTAGAAATGTCAACTGTAGTATGAAACCCTCTAAGTTGGAAAAAGTAGGAGTGTATATTGACTATGAAAAAGGACTTGCTGCATTTTACAATGCAAATAGCATGAAGTTGATTCAAGAATTCTCCAGCATCACATCAAGTCTTTTTGACAGAATGCACCATCATTTCACTGAGCCAATCTATCCTGCTTTTCGTCTTTTTCCACTTGTTGCTGGTCCTACCCACTCTGACAAGTTGGAGATATGCAAACTAGAAATTTAAAAAGCAGACATGGCAGATATATTACTGCTCCAGTAAGAAGTACAATACTGTAATGTTTGTAGTAATCAGGGCTAAATGGAGCCAAGCCAGGTTAAGTATGAAACTATACAGAATGTTTTATGCAGCAGATTTATTCGCAGAATGCAGCAGTACAAATCTCCGCCTCCTACCTACCAATCAAACCCGTGTCCCACAGACCCTATTCATGTATGAATAAAGACAAGTGATAGACCAAAACCTTCCCGTGGTTGAATGAACGCTTTTTGAAAAAAAAAACTTCCCATTACATCATTATTCTGCTTTTTAATAACTATAATTTAATTAAAAATCAGTGAGATTTGTGTAAAATGAAACCTTTTGACTTGTTTGCTGGAAGCATCTTATTGCATCAGGCTTTAAAAGTCACCTGAAATTGAAGACTATCCAATTGCAATGAATTGCTGCAATATTAAAATAATACTGTAAAAAAAAGTCTCATGTACATATCTCATAAACAGCATGTTTGATGGTTCTAAAGATCATTTGGTTTCATTCTAGACACTCCTTTCTTTCAATCCTGTGGAGCTTCTCTGCCTAGACATGGACTAAGTTCACTGACTTTGTGACTTCTAGCTTCAGGTTAACTTCATATTCCTACTTCGGAATTTCAGTGTCTTACTTGGTTTGCCTTTAATTTTAATGTTCTCTGAATTTTTCTCAATTTCTTTCATTTGCCAAAATTTATTAAACAAGAAAAATAAAGATAAATAAGTCCCCTAATCAACAAACACTAATGCAACTTGCAAACCTAAATACACTTGGTATAATCCAGACCTGCTAAGAGACATTATGTTAACACAGTTGTTGTTCTTGTTAAGATTTGTTTGTTAAATTCTGCTGGACATATTTTTGTGTCTGTAATAAACTCAGTACGATTTATCAATAAATTTTGATCACCTTTGCATTTAGACAAGAAATACAGAAGAATAGTACCCAAGCTATGTAGTACAACTTTTTTTTTTGCAGTTTTTACGTACTAAAGATAACAAAGCATACAACCGAAATATTTCCTTTCGTACAATGGAACAGGAACAAAAATTTAGAATTTTATATTGTCAAAGCTCTATAATAAAATTTGTGCTTGCATCCAACTGTCAACAAACTCAAATTCATTATTCGCAATTTGACAGATTTTCAAATTTCAAATTATGTTCCCACAAATTTCTTTCGTGTGCAATGGAAATGCACTCTGCTGCAATACCAATGGGGGAGGCAATGGCCTAGTGGCATTATCACGAGACTACTAATCCACAGATCCAGACAATGATCTAGGGATTCGGGTTATAATCCATCCCGGGATAGATTGTCAGATTTGAATTCAATAAAAATCTGGAATTAAGAGTCGTGAAGCCATTGTTAACTGTCAGACAAAATATTAGTGGTTCACTAATGACCTTTAGGGAAGGAAACTTCTATCCGTACCAGGTGTGGCATACATGTGACTCCAGACCCACAGCAATATGGTTGATTCTTAACTGCTCAGAGATGGGCAATAAATGCTAGCCTAAATACCCACCAAAAAAAACTATATATACAAACCTCAGCAGGTGACATAGTTGAAACGCACAGTGAATTCTCAGAATAACATTTCCAATCTATAACCTGCTCAGATCCAGTCTAAGCTCAGGATATATGTCATAATTTTCTTTTCTCAGCTGATGAATTTCCTGCATCAGTTAAGATTAGAAGTTCTCAAAACAATTCCCTGTGGGTGCGCTGCTCAATTAATTCAACACTCTTAACTGAATTTAAAGGAGTTGTAAAGTTACCTGGTGTGGAAAAACAGATCTCCAATTCAGATAATCTTCCAAGGCTTCAGTTAAAGTGGACAGATTGCAGCAAAACAAAATTTTATTTATTCAGCAAGCTGATGTAGAAATGATGGACCAAATGGCCTCCTCTTCCACCATAACAATTGCTAATGCTGACTGGGAGTGCTCAATGCTTAAATGGGTGACAGCAGAAAGAAGTGCAGTATTCCCAATATGGATATGCTTCAATTTGGAAACCACAAAAATTAACTCTAAACATTCAAAAATGGAAACAGAATAAAAATTACCTGAAATCAATATCCAGAAGTTGACTCTTTATAAACGGTTCCTTATTTTCAGACTGGCACACTCTTATTAGCTCATGTAGGCTGAAAATTAATCCAAAGGGTTCTCATTAAATTTATAAAGCAGAACTTATGTTCATACATTAACAAATAGACTCAATATACTATCCAATTTTGTATTACACTCGTGAATCATATTAGCCCTACTTAACAAAGTAAATTGAGATTTGGATATTTCACAGGGGTGTATTACTTTTGCTTAAGGATGGGAAGAAAGGTTTCAGAAAAGAACCCTCAAGTTTGAGTTTCCCCTATACAGCGGAGTTTTGCTTACACTTTATTGCATATATTTTATATGTTTGACATGTTCAGTCTAACCGGCAGGATTGACTTTCAATTAGACAGCGAGAATTCAGGAGTAAATGGGTTCAATCCATGACCAGAGAGCTTGAGGAATGCCTGATCCCTACTCCCAAGGCATTCCAAATCCACAGGATGCGGGAGGGAAGATTTGTGGATGGGAAGCAAGACACAGGCGTGGATGGGAGTGAGGATAAGGAGTAAAAAAGCTCTCCTGCTCCCTCAAATCTACAACTAGTGCTGGTGGGCTGTAAAGGCTTTTATCTTCCCCTCAAAATTACGGTTGCCTTCTTTAGAGTCCGGGCTTTCCAATGTCTGGGAACCTGCAAATGTAAAATAAGGAGGCTGTTGGCCTCTTTAGAATATTTAAATTGCCAAACTATGTCTTTATCTAACCTCTGTTCAACTCAGGAGTGGGCATTTTGGAAGCTTCTTGGTTTTAAATTTCAGGAGCAAAATCTAACTGGTCCAACCTACTTCTTTGTGGGCAATAAAATTCAGGTGTCAGTGAAAGCTCATCACGAAGGCAATACTGATATCAGAGACGCATGCTGACAAAACTGAACATAAAAGAAAATTCACAAAATAATTCCATCAGCAACATATGAAAACAATTCATATGCAAATTATTACAAAAGGTTTGTAGGAGTTGAAGACAAGTTCTAATTCCAGAATTGTTCATTTCCGCGGAGTAAATATTTCAATTCTATTTCTCATTTGTGTCACCATAACACAGATTTTAGCTATTTTTGAAAAAAATGCAGTGTAGTCAAAAGGCTTGCTGCCTTTCAGTTACATGTTTAGAATGAGCTGATGAGTGAGCCAGACGGCATCCAGTGCCAGAGTAAATGCATCCCTATACCAGTCATCACTGTTAGGAAGAGAACAGTGAGATAATTTACTGATTTCCTCCTAGCCCATTCCACCCTTGCAACAGTCCGATCTTGAGTTTCTACAATAATGCTCCAGCTGGACCAGAAGGATCATCTATCCATCTGATTGTCTAACTTGTACGTGTGAATATGTACCCGTCCTCTACACAACAACACTTTACAGTAAAATTGGAAACGCAACACAAATCAGGAACAAATATCGGATGCCATCAGTGAAGCTGCTCATATATCAGTCACTGAGACTGAGAGTAACTAACACTTGTAACCCGCATTCCCACGTGTCTTAAACCTGGGTCATCATGGCGAAGAGTCTTGGCAAATCCAGCAAATTAGGGTTACCACCTTGTGCACAACATTAGCACAGTTGAAAATTATTAGGCTAAAATCTTTGCCAAAGTTAAATAGATTTTTGCTTCACTTTTGTCTTGGAAATACTGTACAGGTAAAAAAGTTCAGTGGCTTTATATCAGCTGATATTACTGGTTCACAAAATCATAAATATAAAGTTGGAGAGCTTTCCGGGAAATTACAAGCTTCTTGATTGGGTTGAACTTGTGGCAGTAAAGGAAGATTTTAAAATATCTTACCGTGGTGTTCCAACACACAGCACCCTTCTAAAGCCCAATGAAGCAATTAAATCCAACAAGAATTGGCAAGTGCGATCAGCAAACAGGTACTGAGCATTGGTCTTCTTGTTTTCTAGTGGAAGCAGCAAAAGACTGGGTCTTTTCAGTTGACAGAGAGCGACGTGTCCCAGCTGATCATGAGTTGAATGCTGGTCCAACTCCTCGGGAAGTAGCAAAATCTGACAGTCTGTACAGAACGTTCTATTTGCCAAGGGTAAAGACACAAATCGCTGGTATCTGCAGGAAAACATGCAAATAATCTATGCAGATTAATTGTTTTTTCAACAAAAGTGTCCTTTTACAAATTGAAAGAAAATAGTTAAAAACAAAGTCAAAATGTATGCAGAGATTATGCACATTGATGTACTCTACAATTCCTATTAAGTGCTTGAACTCTACTTTAAAGTTAGCATCACTGAAAATTTGAAATCAAATGTACATGGTCTTGTAGCAACTGCACCTACTCAGAACTTTGCTGAAGTCATCCCACATTCAAATTGGTAACCTTTACAGTGGTAAGTTAAAAACCCTGTAGAATTCATATAAAATATTGCATTGCTGCTTTTGCATTTGATGCCACTTGCCGTGAATAAAATTACTGTAATTTTGTTCCAAAGGAAAAGCCCACTCAGTTTATCAAACACTTACTGGTGGTTTTTCTCTAAAGACATTGGAGCCCTTCCCGATAATTCCGCAAATCCCTTCATAATACAGTCTTCCCTTTGACAAGGACTGAGGGATTCTACTTTGAAACTGCAGGAATAGCAGCACAACATTGCTAGTCTGGGAATCCAGACTTTTGGACAATAGTCTACAGACGTTATTTCAAATCAGGTGAGGGAATTTTCAACTAATTAAATTTAATTAATAAATCTGGAATAAACAGTAACCGTAAAGCTATTGGTTTGACATACAATCCCATCTGGTACATTATTAGGATTGATTTCACAGGCAAGTCTTGTAATCTCTTGACCTTAAACGCTCTCTGGGCAATTTGGGATGAACAATAAATGTTGACCTATGCCAGCAATGCCCACATCCCGTGAATAAATAAGAAAATATATTATTTAGGTGTTTAAGATGATTAATGAAGTTGATAGTGTGGGCAGTAGGAAACTATTTTCTGTGGTGGAATATCCAATAAAGAAAAAGGAGTCATAGCCTTACGGTGTAAGTAAGGCTGTTTAGGGTGATAGCAGGTAGCATTTTTTTCCCTCACACCAATGGCAGAATTTAATGCCTGAGAGACGAATCTTTTCTGCTGGAAGAACCCCGTATTGCCTCCATTGCAGAAGGCCTGCAGGGTGAGGGTGGGAGAGCAGGCTTGAGAGGCTGAATACTCCACCCTTATTCCTTCCAAAGTCCCACAGGGCACAGGACTGTAGAGTGACTGAGGGCCAAATAAAAAATATGGATTACAAAAGGTAAAAGTGCCAAACTGCAAATCCACTCAGTGGCAGTGAGGAGTTAAGTGACGATACAGGAAAGGTTCTCTTCACAGCATCAGGAATTCTCTCTCTCCAAACCTGTGGTCAAGCCAAGCCTGGAGATAGCAATAAGTTGGCTGACAGTAAGCCAACTCTCCAACTCACACCGTTCATTGCAAGAGAGATCCTGCTTCTCCCCAGTGAGGTTGCTAATCTGCAATTTACCATTGAAGATTCTTTACCAAACATAACCTAGGTTTTACATCTTAACTGGATACACAAAACTTTTGCCACTCATCCCATCCCTGCTTAGTTCAGTCACTGACTCCAAGTGCACAATTGCCAAGTTTCAAACATAACACAGCGTGGAGCTGGAGCTGGAGCTGAAGAAGGGTCCCGACCCAAAACGTTAACTTTCCTACTCCTCTGATGCTGCCTGTCCTGCTGTGTTCCTCCAGCTCCACACTGTGTTACCTCTGACTCCAGCAATCGGCAGTTCCGACTATCTCTGCCAAGTTTCAAAGCTCCCTTTATACTCAACAAACCTGGTGCTTTCTACTTGCTCTCTTTCCGTCTCCAACACACTAAGTGTATAATGCTTCTCATCTGCATAAACAATAACCCATGTACTCTCTAGGGACGTCTACTCCAACTTCAGTCACATTGATTGTACAGAGACAGCCAGAACAGGGGTATCGCCACTTGTGTTAATGTAGCTGACTCAAAAATAGCTCAAAATAGGCTTAGGAGGAAATAAAAGGTCTTGCCTCTTAAATAAGAGATAACAATGCGTAGAGCTGGATGAACACAGCAGGCCAAACAGCATCAGAGGAGCAGGAAAGCTGACATTTCGGGTCTGGACCCTTCTTCAGAAATTAGTTCCCACTATTTCTTGCCTCTTAAAGATTTCTTTACAAAAAAAAAAATCTATGGAGCAAATTATTGCAAATGCTGGAATCTGTACTGAAAACAAAAAATGCTGAAGATCACAGTGGGTAAGGCAGCATCTATGGAGAGAAAGCAAGCTAACATTTCGAGTCTAGATGGCGCTTCATCAGAGCTCTGATGAAGAGTCATCCAGACTCAAAATGTCCCTCGGTCTTCCTTTCCATGTCTGGAATTCAAGTCTTGAATTGCTTTACCCTCAATTTGTCACTCCTGCCTTCCCTCCTGATTTCTTCTTATTCTCTCAATTTGAGAAAGATCAGGTTTGAATCAGGATAAAAGATAAGAACAACTTTCATGTATCTAAGTAAAAACCCGAAGAACTGCAGTTGAGAAAGGGTCACCAGACCCGAAACAGTAACTCTGTTTTCTCCTTCACAGATGCTGCCAGACCTGCTGAGCTTTTCCAGCTTTTCCAGCAACTTTGTTTTTGTTTCATGTATCTAACTCCCTTCACAATCCGAAGATATCTAAACTTGCTTTTCCTGAACACTCAAGTCCCAGATACCCTGTAGATGGCGCTACATTCCTTCTCTCCACCCCTCTCTCAATTCCAGCAGAGTGAAATATGGTGATTAACAGTCAACGGCAGGTCTAACAGTGGTTAAATAGTGGTGGGTAGCACAAAACTCAATATTGCTAGGAGTAAAAAGATATTTTGTTAAATGTTTTTGGCTTGCTCTCATCACAATACTTCACAAAAAATACCAATGTATAGGGAAAACAACATTTAGATTGTATGAGAGGAGAGTGATGATTGCTTGGCAAGTGGACTGGTAGAGGCAATGCCATGGAGAATGCACCAGTTAGAGACTGACAGTCAACTGCCAAACTTTGTTTAAATTTTGAACCAGGCAGATGACTCCAATCCTTCAAAGCATTCCTGTGAGGAATTAACCAAAGAATGACTGTCACCTGTTTTGTTGAGTTGTACATGATGTTATTTATTTACATGTTATTTCAGTCTGCAAAGAACAGGGCCTGTGCAACTTCTATTAGGGGCAAGAATGCCACTCAGCAAGCCCACTGACAATGCTAAATTGATGGTCAGCGTAACTATTAACACACTCGGGATTATTTAGCAAAGGCTGTCCAATCATGGAAACATAATTATTTTTACTTTGGACACTGTGTTTTGTAAGCATGGACTGGTTGAACAATCAGCACCTCACTTATAACAAATAGCCACACGGATGTACTATTTGACACAATCTGCTCGTCTTTGGGTATACAGCCTACATAAAGTGCATCACACCAGCACTGAAGCTCATAAAACACTTAACTCATTTGTGTGATTCATCATGTCTTTTTGGCTTGACTGCAGCATTCTGTTCGTGGAAAACAGCATTCTTGTTGCCACAGCATGGTAGCTGCATACAACAGCTACTTTCACCTATTACTCAAATTTTAAACAAAGCTTGGTATTTAACTGTCAGGCATCATCAAACTGGTGCCTTCTCCATGGAAGCATCTCTACATATCAAAGAGCACTTGCTAATCAATCAGCACTTTCCTCTCACATAGCTTAAATGCTGTTTTCCCTTCACACTGGTGTTTCTTGTGCATTGTCCCAATGAGTGCAAGACAAAACGTTTCAACAAAGTTTCTTCTTTCAGCTGTAACAGTGGCTAGTTTATTAGCTTGCTGGAAGTCACACTATACCAGGTTATAGTCCAACCTGTCAAAGGAGCGGCACTCTGTCAGCTTGTGATTTCAAATAAACCTGTTGGGACTGTAACCCTGGTGTCGTGTGACTTCTGACTTTGTTCACCCCAGACCAACACTGGCACCTCCACATCATTAGCTTGCCAGCATTTTAGATCAGCAAATATACTCATTTGGATCCTTAATTTACTATACTCTCCTTCAGAATGGCTATGATTAAATATAGTAATCTACAGCTTCCCTACCATGTAGCTGACTAGCATACAGTACTGGCTCATTACCTCTCCACATATTGCTGATGGGTAAATGGTGGCTGTCGTCTTCGATTCAATTCTTCTCTTGCTAATTGCCGGGCTTCTGACACCTGGTAATGGTAGTGAGACACAAGCAGTGGTTAACATCGCACATGAAGCAATAGATGAACCACTCTTATTCAAGCTAAATGCCAAAGGTAAACAAGTCAATGTTTCATCACTATCTAGAAAAGTGGAAAACTAGGGAGAAAGATGAAAGGTCAGTCAATCCAGGCACACTCACTCACAACCAGTGAATCTGATAACCTGCTCAAAAGAATAATGGACAAAGAACCAGACTCAGCAGGGTTGATTTTTTTTTCTGATATGAAAACATTGAAAGTGAAGCCAATTACAAGTCAGGCTGAGCATCAGCTCAAGAGCTGCTGCTTCAATCACGTTCAGACCCAGAGCCCAGCCAGACCCCTTTGGCATGGTGCGGCTCAACTTCAGTATGGGGAGCAACATCTGCAATATTGCTAGCTTTCCAAACTACTGAGAGACAATAATAGAACATTTCATGATGGTGGAAAGTGTTGTCAACTGTGTTATCAAGCAGCATTGGCTCAGCAGTAACCTGCTCACTGATAAAAACCGAACGAACTTTGGATGCTGTAAATCAGAAACAAAAACAGAAACTGCTGGCAAAGCAATTGTTCTGGGGTAAGCGTCACCGGACCCGAAACATTAACTCTGATTTCTCTTCACAGATGCTGCCAGACCTGCTCACTGATGTTCAGTTCACCAGCACCACTTAGCAACTGATCTCATTACAGCCATGATCCAAACACAGACAAAAGAATTTGAATTCAAGAGGTACGGCAACAGTTTATAACATTGATAAAAGTGTAGCATCAAGGAATCTGGCAAAACTGAGTCAATTGAAATCAATGGAAAAGCTCTCCACATGTTGGAGTGTACCTGTGGCACAAAGCAGGCTGATGATGGTTGATGGAGGCCAAACATCCCCTATCCCCAAGATATCACTGCAGGAGATCCTCAGGCTAGTGTCCTAGGCCCAACCATCCTCAGCTGCTTGAGCATTAATATTCCTTCCAATTTAAGGTCAAAGAATGGGAAGTTTACTGGTTCTTACACCATATTCAGGTCCATTTGCGAGTCCTCAGATAATAGAAATACTGTGGCAAACATTTAAGGGGATACTTAAGGATATATAGATTGATACATTCCAATAAGAAAGAAATATTCCAAATAGATCCACTATCTGTGCTTGTTTGAAAAGTTGAAGACAGTATCAAAGAACTAATATGCTATAGATAAATGGGAATCAATACTGTACTTTGATTTCCCCATTGATGTGATACTTTATCAAATACTAATGTTACTGCAGAAAATGAAAACGAAAACTTACGGTGTAAGGAGTAACACATTGTATGGAGAGAAGATTGGTTGGCTAACAGGAAGCACAGGGAAGGCATACGTGACTTATTTTCGGGTTGGCGAGATACAATGAGTAATGCACCACATGGCCTCAACATTCTACAATTTGTATAAATGACTTGAATGAACAGAACAAAAATGAGTTAAGGTTGCAAAATTATACATTATCAATCTGGACAAAGGAACTGAGAGCATTACTGCTACGTTTGCAGATGACACAAAGATAGGTGGAGGGGTAGGTCATGTTTAGGAAGCAGGGAGGCTGCTGAGGACTTGGAAAGGTTAGCAGAGTAGGCAAAGACGTGGCAAATGGAATATAATGTGGAAAATTATTAGGTCACGCACTTTGGTAGGAAGAATAGAGACGTAGACAATTTTCTAAATAGGAAAAGGCTTCAGAAATCTGAAGAACAAAGGAACTGGACAGTCTTGGTTTAGGTTAAGGTTAACATGCAGATTCAGTTGGCAGTTAGGAAGGCAATGCAATTAGCATCCATTTCAAGACGGCTGGAATATAAGGAAAGAGATATACTGCTCAGGCCAGACTGCATTTAGGATATTGTGAGCAGTTTTGGACCCATATCTAAGGAAGGATGTACTGGCATTGGAGGGGGTCCACAGGAAGTTTACAAGAATGATCCCAGGGATGTAGGGCTTGACATATGAGGACAGGGTCTATACTCAATGGAATCTAGAAGGATGAAGGAGATCTCATCGAAACTTACAAAATTTTGAGATGCCTGGATATAGTGGATGTAGAGAAGATGCTTCCACTATTAGAAGAGACTAGGACCCAAGGGAACAATCACAGGGTGAAGGGACGAACCTTTATAACTGAGATGAGGAGGAATTTCTTCAGAGTGTGGTGAATCTGTGGAACTCATTGTCACAGAAGACGATGGAGGTCAAGTCATTAAGGGTATTTAGGACAGAGACAAATAGGCTCTTGATTAGTAAGGGGATCAAGCGTTATGGGATTAAGAAAGATATCAGCCATGAGCGAATGGTGGAGCAGATTTGAAGGACCGAATGATGTAATTCTGTTCCTATATCTAATGGTCTAAATTCATTGATGAGAAAGAGACAGGTAGGAAAGTAAGTTGCGAAGAGAATATAAGACTACAAAAGCATAAACAGGAATTAAGTAACTCAGCTAAAATCTCGTGGACGTTGTACAAAGTGGAAAAATATCTTATCCATAATGAACTTATCCACATTAACAGGAAGAATAAAAAAACCATACTGTCTAAATGGTGAGAGTTCCAGAGCTCTGAGAAGTAGAGGCACCTGGGTGTCCTCATGCACAAATTGGGAAAGGTTGGTACTGAGGTTCAGCTGGAACATTATTGTTTATGATGAGAGAAATTGAATACAAAAGTAGGCAGGTTATACTTTATTTATACAGAGCAATAGTGAGACATGTGAAATTTTGTGTACAATATTGGTGCTACAGATGCACCACTTTGCTTCTGTGCAATAAAGTCCATTCTCACTGATTTCCAACGATCAATGAGTTCAGCCAGCCACCACATTTGCAGAATTCACCCCACTCTGAGCATAGGCTTTTATTAATGATGGTCGGTAACACACATAAATGAGCATTACACATCTAACCAAGTGAGCAATCTAGACCCAGGGAAGAGAGATGGAAGTGTGGGTTTTAGGAAATAAAGACTTACAACAATACAGCACTTTTTATAGCAATGTTGAAGAAATTCTGAAGTGCAATCACTTGAAATACAGAAAACATGGCAGACAATTTGCACACAGTAAGCTCCTACAAACAGTAATATGGCCATTGGCAGATTTTTGTTTTAAAAAGGTCACTTTGGATGAAGATTGACAATGGAAGAGAAATTGTCTACTTTCTTTAAATTAACACAATGGGATTTTTACTTTCCTCTGAGAGGAGGGATGGGCCCTCAGCTTAACATCTCTACAATACGAAGCTCCTTCAGTCCTGCACTGAAGTGTCAACTTAAGGTTTATCCCCAAACCCATGGAAAGGGAGCCACAACTTTCTGACTCAGGAGCAAGCAGATGAGCATGTGGGTACTCCAAGCTGGCAATCTAAGGAAGGGAATTGCAAGAGTTAGGCTAAGGCACCTGGAGATTCTGCTCTCAATCAATCATGAAGAGGCAGAAGGTACATCAAAGATCAAAAGGAGTACTGAAGCATTCAGGAGGAGATAAAAGGCTGGAGGAAGTTACAGAGAGTTGACAAAGACCATAACAAATTTAAGGCTGGGATTTTTAAAAACAAATTTGGATTACGAAGCCAGTGTAATAAGAAGATGGGACTCAGTATAGGACAAAAACTCAAAAAAAATTAAACAGGGAAGCAGATGAATATATCTCTAAATCCCAAAATCACCCAGGAAAACTAACTCGGAGGAATGACCAAACAAATTAAAGCTATTCTCGTAAATAGAATAGAAAGAATAGCTCATCCAATCACAGACTGGGGGGAAACAGAGAGGCCACAAAAGCAAGGAGGGTAGAAGGATGCTGCTCAGAAGAGAGAATATCTTCAAACTTGTCAACAACAGAACACTGAGCTATTTAGGAACAAGGAAAACTTGAAATCGCTGAGTAATACATTACTTACAAATGAACATGGTTTCTCTGGTTTATGGCTGCCAATGTTCAGCAGCTAGAAGGTAGGAGGTACATAAGAACAACTTTGATCCTCTCCCTCCAATCCCGTCTTCTTCTTGTGCGAAATATCTGGTCGACAATTCAACCTCTCGTGTTAGTGCATTCCAGATGACTCAATTTTGTGTTCTCATGTCGACGGACTTTTGGTAAGGCGGAAGACAAGGCATTCCATCTTACCGGGTTAAGGAACGTAAATTAATTCTACAATAACCAAGACAACGTTGTTGTTTTACAGTTTATTAATGAATCTTTATACCTTCTCATCTTCCCACTGGAAGAAGTTACAGTCTTTGCGATCTCTACAAGCTGCACAGGCATAAAACCTCCTGGATTCTCGTTTCTTGCGAGTTACCTTCACAAACAACAAAGTTGGACCTGGAACAAATCAGAGAACAAACACTCAAAGTAACAGTAAATATGTACTTTGTAAGTGTAAGTTTGACACTCACGTCTCCCACAGTGAAATGTACAAATGAGAAAAGTGCATCTGTGACAGTTTGATGGTTAATATTAGTCAAATAACGCACCATGTAATAGACTGAGAGCCTAATCCAAACAGTCCAAGAAACCAGTTCAAATTACTTGAGAAATAGAAGTGAGACTTAGCACTTTATCACTGAAATAGTAGGCAGGGAGTGTAGATTTAAAGTAAGAGATAGAACAGAGGAGTAGAGGAGATTTTTCCCCCCAACTCAGAGGTGGTGGACATCTGAAAGTCACTGGCTGAAAAGGTGGTTAAATTAGAAACCACCTTTTGCCATATATGGGTGAAGAGCTGAAAATGGTTAGGGTAGTCAGACCCAGCTTGGACATGATTGGCCAAATGTCTCTTCTGTGCTGTAACCGTCAATGAGTCTTTCAGGAGGTAAGTGATTTTAGAAAAGCAAAACTTAGCATTGGCTTTTTCAGTTAAATCACAACTAATCCTGATACAACTCATATCACCAAATACATATATTTCCATGAAGTTCACTCTTGCCCTCCCATTCCAATCCCAGCTTTTGTTTTCTCTCCATTTCCTTGCTAAGCTTTGAACCCTGTTTGCCAAGTTGTGAAATGTACACACCTCCCTGCAAGCAAGTAAAGAATTCAACAGAAAAAGCCTCAGAACTTCTACAGTGTTACCTGAAGAAAAGGGACCTACAAACTTAGCCACATTTTTGCACATTGTCTCTGATGTGAACGAAAAGCCTGAAAAAGCTTCCATCCAGACCAGAATACCAGCCACAAGCTCTCATTTTCCCATGAAATAATTTTTGACCAAAGTTACCTACCTCTACTTTTAGTCTGCAATTGCGTGCTCAGATTTCAAGTTCAAATATTACGTTTCGGAACGGATTTTAAACTTTTTAACGTTCTTGGCTTACTTAATCTTACTTTGTTAAGAAATTAAGAAAAACAGTCTGCATAATTGCATACAACTGACACAAATATTTAAGCACAATACAGTGGATTGGCTTTCAAATTTAAAAACACACGTGTGTTTGAATTAGGAGAGAGAAAAATGAAAGCTATCTCATCAGTCCTCATTTAGTTGCAATAAGATGAAACTAAAATAATTAGAAGCAGCCAACATGACTTTCAAAATCAGGTACGGTTCCCTAGAAGACTGTCAGCAGATAGAGTCAAAAATGAAACTTTCAAGCCTGAGATTGTTAGAATTTTTTTTAGGTGCAATATCAAAGTGCATGGACTAAAGGTAGGTTAATAGGAGTTAATGGCAGTTTCTCAGCATGGTTTTATGTGGGTAGTGGGTTACAAAATGTTCTCCTCCTGAGCTGCTTTTGCTCAACGTACTCTTCAATTATTTAGACACAGGGTAGGTCTCCAGGTTTGAGAACTGTAGGGATGAAAATCAAATTCGAAAATGGGGAGTTTCCCTGATTCACCACTAATGTTAAATGCCAGTATACTTCACAGTTCATTATATGTGAGGCGCTTTGAAATGTTTCAGAAATGCAACAATTTATGAAATAAATCAAATGTGCATTTTCACATTATGTTATAAACAAAGTCATAGCAGATTCCTTTAAAGATATTAAACAACTGCCATATATAAAATGTCACAACCTATTGGTGAAGGGATAGGCAAGAGCGAACAATTGAATATTTGAATATTATTGGTGCCATATTTTGAATTGTTTTGTCTACCTATTGGTTTAGCAAAGTACATTTACAGTAAGATGAATGAATAACAGGGAGTAACATTTAAACACACCCTAGGAATTATAGCAGTCTGACAGCTTAACATGGTACTTCAAAAACCAGTTGAGCATAGCTTTGTCTAGCTAAAGGGATAGGTCCTGCAAAGCAGCAAATATTCAGTATTAAGCAATAAAACAAGACTATGAAAACAAACAGTGAATACTGGAAATCTATGTGTACATCTAATGCTGGAAAATGCTGTGCATCGACAACCAGTCCAACAGCATCTGAAAAATGTCAAACGCTTTACGGGTTTTTCCCAGTACGTGTCAAATGTAGCAAGCATTCTGCCCAGATTCCATCAATTAAAAAATGAGAACTAGTAAAACAAAGGCCAACTGAATAAAATCCAGTGATATCATCACAGGTTTGTGCAATTTCAATATTCACAAGCTGGCTTTAAATAAAGTATTTTGAATTCAAATATGTTAATTGCTTATAACAATAAATGCAAGCTAATCTGGAGGGAAAAAGTTCACTTCTGATGGAAAGTCATCAAGCTGAAACTTTAACTCCGTTTCTCACTCCTCATACGCTATTTTCTGTTCTATTCCAGATTTTCATCATCTCCAGGATTTGTTTTTGGAATGAATGCAGTCTTCAAAAAATTCAGTTTAAGCCCATTTCCTGTGTTTCAAAAGTAGAATGTTTATCAGTGGTTATTATTTTGTTTTATTTTTCATAAAACAGTTTTCTTTTGTTAACAAAGTGAAAAATATTCAATTCCCCCATTCTGTTGTTAATATGATTGGCATGTAAGGGACAGCAGACAAGCGCAACAGAGGGTCACATAATCTGGAGTGACCCTAAAAGAAGACAAGATCGGGAAAGAAACCAAAGGTTTCTAACATGAACGAGCACACCACTTAGTTAAAGGGAATCAGGAATGGGCAATAAATTACAGTTTCGGCAGTGACACCGATACCATATTAACTATAAAAGTAAAGGATTTTGAAAATTTGAGAATCTTTATCTGGAAGTACAATGCTGCGAACAGTAAAAGTGACTGTGAAGCTGTTGTGCTATTAGGAAAACCCAGCTGGTTCACTAGCCACTGCAGTTGACAATTTAACTCCATTGACCTGCCTTAGGTCCATATCCCTTAAGTTCACCACGGTATCAATCTGTGGATCAGTGCCTTATCCCCTTTGGGGCCCATATATCCTTCTCGTGGGTGAACTGAATATGGAGCTCGGCTTTCAGTCTGAGTAGAGCTTAATCCAATGATAACATGAAATCTATCACATCCCTTAGTGTTCCAGCTTCCTTGAGATGGAAGCAAGCATTCCATTAACATTTAATTTCTTTTGTATGTTACCATTACTAGTTTGCTATGAGTTCTGCATTTGGACACCTAAATTTCTGCTCCAACATGGTTCACAATTCTCACCATTTGGAAAATATTATCTTTTAGTCCAAATTCCAATTTAGTCCAAATGGATGAATTCACTTTCCCACAATGAACTATATCTACCAGTTGTGTCCAAGTTATAACAATCTCTTTGAACTTGGCTATGCCTTTGCTTATCCAAAGTAATAACACACAGTGTGTTCCACATTTTTGTCTGTATATAGACTAAACCTAGCTACGATCTTTTAACAAATGAGCATGTGTCTAATCCTGACAGAGGAAATGAATATAGTAGGCACTCTCTCCAGTGAGCATTATTTCAGTTAGGGTTAACTGTTAATTCTTGGGATACCCAGTCCATTATAATTTATATTTCAGATCACCACATTGACGCAATAGTCAAGAAAGCACAACAACATCTCTACTTCCTCAGGAGGCTAAGGAAATTCAGCATGTCTACAAGGGCTCTTACCAATTTTTATAGATGCACCATAGAAAGCATTCTATCTGGATGCATCACGGCATGGTTTGGCAACCGCTCTTCCCAAAACTGCAAGAAACTACAGAGAGTCGTGAACACAGTCCAGTCCATCACACAAACCAGCCTTCCATTAACTGACTCCATCTGCTTCACGAAAGCAACTAACATAACCAAAGACCCAACATAATCAAAACCCTTCCCACTCCAGTTATACTCACTTCCACCCTCTTCCGTCAGGCAGAAGATATAAAAATTTGAATACACTTACAAATAGATTCAAGAACAGCTTCTTCCCTGATGTTATCAGACCTTTGCATAGACCTCTCAAATGTTAATTCTGATCTCTCTCTCTCTCTCTCTCTCTCTGCACCTTCTCTACAGCTGAAACACTGTTTCTGTGCTCTGTTCCGCTACCTTGATGTAGTTTATAGAGTACAATCTGCCTGTATAAATGCAAAACAACACTTGTTACAATATCTTGGTACATGTGACAACAATAAAATCAATCAACAAATTACTCAGTTTGTTCATGCAAATTCCCATTGTGAAACAAACACACTGTGAGCCCGACAGAAGATCACCAATCCAAAACATTAACTTAGCTTATCATTCACCGATGCCACTAGACCCAGAGTTATAAAGGTCCACAGCACAGGAAAAGACCCTTCAATAAACCAGCTGTGCTGGTCAAAAACAACCACTAACTATTTCCAACACTTGGCCCCATAGATATGTATGCCATGACAAACTTTTCCATGAAGGACAGGTGAAACGGAACAGTCCAACAACTTGGTGTGTTCTGTGGTGCCAAGGCCAGTTCCATCCTTCACAACGCCAGGGACAGGTAGTACCTCAGTACATAGTGACACTTGGTGTTTGCATACTGAGGGTCTTCACACAGCTTGATGCAGCCATACACAAAGATAGCCATCAGGATGAGGCCAGTGTTGGGTATGTCTTCCCTCCCCCTATCCAGAGCTTTCTACATTGTTTCCCTGCAGACACGGTCCAGCTTTGACCTCCAGATGAAGTGGTAGATGGCTCGGTGACTGCAGTGCGCAGGGTCGGGAAATGGGCCAGACCGGCACCACACCCAGCAAAACCAACAGTGCTTCACACCTGACGAGGTTTCTATCCATAATGGAGAGGGAGCAGTGCTCCCAAAAACCCAGTTACTGCCTCACCTCAGCGAGACATTCCTCCCAATTTTTTGCCCAAACCCCTTCCCATCAACCAGATTCCCATCACTTTCAGGTAATCTGTCCTGACAGTGAAGGGGATAAGGAATCAGCGGGCACAGTTCCCAAAGATCATGGCCTCGCTCTTGTTTCCATTTACCTTGGCTCTCAAGGCCAGTTCAAACTGGTCACTGATGCTCACGAGTCTGTTCACTGACAGGATCCGAGCAGAAAATAGTGACGTCATCCATGTACAGGGAGGCTTTGACCTGCAGTCCTCCATTGCCTGAGACAGTCACTGCTCGCAGGCTCGCAACCTTCCTGATGGACTCGGCTTATAATTGCACAATGTTCAGCACCATTCACAACTCCTCAAATACTGAAGAAGTCCATACCAAATGCAGCAAGATCTGATGAATATGCAGGCTTGGGTTTTAAACAGGCTCTTCGGCCCAACAAGTCCACACCAACCCTCAGAACATTCCACCAGCCCCATTCCCCAAACCCACCCAATCTACAACAACAAAAACAAAGTTGCTGGAAAAGCTCAGGAGGTCTGGCAGCATCTGTGAAGGAAAAAAGAGTTAACGTTTCAGATCTGGTGACCCTTCCTCAGAACCACCTAACCGACACATCCCTGAACACTACAGGCAATTTAACATGGCTAATCCACCTAGCCCACACGTCTTTGGACTGTGGGAGGAAACCGGAGCACACCCACACAGACACAGGGAGAACGTGCAGACTCCACAGAGACAGGTGCCCGAAGGGGAACTGAACCAGGCCCCTGGTGCTGTGAGGCAGCAGTGCTAACCACTGAGCCACCATGCCACCGTTGACAAGTGGGAAGTAACATTCGTGCCATATAAGTACCAGGCAATGACCATTTCCAACAACAGAGAATCCAACCTTTGCCCCTTGACATTTAGTGGTGCTACCATCACTTAAACCACACCCCCCACCAAAAATAAGCATCCTGGGGGCTACCAGTGACTATAAACAATACCCAATTAGCCATATAAATACTGCAGTTACAGGAACAAGTCAGAGGCTAGGTATCCTGACTCCCCAGCGCTTGTTCTCCATAGACAAGGCACAAATGAGTCGTGTGATGATATACACCCCACTTGCCTGAATGGGTGCAGCTTCAACAACAGTCAAGAAGTTTCACAGGTCAGAGCAGCCACTTGCTTGCCACAACATCCACAAGCATCCATAAGCATCCATGCCCTCCATCACCAGTGCTCAGTAGCAGCACGGTGTACTATCCACAGTATACACTGCAAAAATTCGCCAAAGATTCTTGGACAGCAGCTTCCAAGCCCACATCATTTCCATTGAGAATGACACGGGCAGCAGATACATGGCAACACCACCACCTGCAAGTTTCCCTCCAAGCCACTAATGATCCTGACTAGTAGATATATTGTTGTTGAGTCAATATCCTGGAACTCCCTCGCTAACAACATTGTCGGTCTATCTATACCAAATGGACTGTAGCAGTTCAAAAAGACAGATCACCACCACTTTCTCAAGGGCAACTAGGAATGGGCAATTGCCAAGCCAGCAACGTCTATATCCCATAAATGAATAAAATAAACTGCTGTATTGTCTATCAAAAATTAATTCAAGACTTTAGCAGCTTAGTTTGACATTCATGGATAAAGTACAAAGTTCACCTAAACAGAGATTTTTTCCACTGTTTTGACACCTGTCACTTGCAATGAGCCTCGTTCAACTTAGTTTTAAAAAAGGAAAAATAAAATCTTTAAAAAAGAAAACTTATATTTTGCAGTGGACATCTCCAAGTACTTTCCAGCCACTGCTGTACTATACAAAACACAACTGCCGATACAGAAAAGACCCACTAACAGCAATAACATAATCTGTTTCTGCAATGCTAACTGAGGGGTCAATACTATTCAGGACAGGAAGGGTCACTGCTCTGCCCCTCTCCAAAATAATTATATGGGATCCTTTACATCCACTAGAGGGAGAGGTTTATAATCCACAAGAAAGCACTTCCAACGGTGCTCCATTGCCTCAATAGTGATATCACGTGCTAACCTTAATTTTGAATTTAAGTCAAGAATTGAACCCAAAATCATTTCACTTAAACTGAATTACCAACTGAACTACAGTCAACTCGATTGTTATTGAGGCTTCACACAAACACACAGTTATTCTGAAGAAGGGTCTAGGCCCAAAACATCAGCCTTCCTGCTCCTTTGATGCTGCTTGGCTTGCTGTGTTCATCCAGCTCTACACCTTGTTATCTCTTGCCATTCTGTTGTTGAGAGGACTGCCTTAAAATGCAGCATGGTGGCTCAGTGGTTAGCACTGCTGCCTCACAGTGCCAGGCACCTGGGTTTGATTCTAGCCTTGGGCAACTGTCTATGTGGAGTTTGCATGTTTTCCCTACGTCTGCGAGGGTTTCAGCCCACAGCCCAAAGATGTGCAGGTTAGGGTAAATCGGCCACGCTAAATTGGCCCATAGTGTCCAGGGATGTACAAGCTCAGTGGGTTAGCCATGGGGAATATCGGGGGAAGGGTCTGTGTTGCTGTGGACTTGATAGACTGAATGGCCTGTTTCCACACTATGATTCTATATATGTGCATTATGTCAGTCACACATTGGAAATTGCACTTTTATAAACTGAGGCTGCTGTTTCTAACTGAAGACAAAATGTTACTCAGTAGCTCAGACAACTTTTGTGCAGAGTGCAGAAAGTAAAGGCAGCAGTTAGTTCATAAAAGGCTGCAGGTCTGACCAAAGATCAGAGTAGTTAAGTCGACAGATGCTACCTGACCTAATTAGTAATACACAAATGTCACTGTAACTTTTCGCTTAAGGGTATGTCGCGTTTTACTCGTCATTTGTCATGGCGGTTCCGCGGCCTGCAGCGTGCATGGAATCATCAGACCAAGCTCGCGGATGTGGTCCCACTGCTCCGCCGTCCCTCCTTACCATGCGGACAGTGGGGTGCTCTGGCCTCCGCCTCCCGGTTTAGGATCAGTTCGATTCCCGGAACCTCGGACATTCCCATTCACTGAGCGGGACAACGTCAGCACCCACCACGTTCCGCAACAATGGGCATGTAACCCGCCGCCGACCTCATCCCCACGCGACTGCCCCTCACTAGGCCCCGCCCCCATTGTCAACAATCCCCCGCCCCCAGCAGCGCCCCCTATTGTCACTCCCCCCTTGTCACTCCTTGCAGCAGAACACCCCATTGTCACTCCCCCAGCACCGCCCCCCATTGTCACTCACCCGGCACCACCCCCATTGTCAACCCAAGCCCTACCCCCATTGTCACCCCCAGCCCCACCCTCCCCTCCAGAATTGTCCATTGACCCTGGGGTGTCAGACAAAATCTTGAGCCCTGCCAAAGGGTTTCAGTCCAAAACATTGACTGTCTAACCTGCTGTGCATTTCCAGCTCCACATTTATTTACCCTGACAACATCACACCCGGGCTGGGTGACTACTTGCAGTGTTTGAAGTGACTTATAAAAACTCAAGCTGATTTTTTAAAAATTGTGCATATCGCATTGAGATTACTTCATAAGAAAGAGAATGATTGAGTCGTTCAATTAATTTTTTATTAAACTGCATCATATTTTCTTGGCGTCCATAGTAGCCAATAACAAGAAACCAAGATTACAACCACCACCTTGCTTGCCAGCAGCAACCAACCAGATCAAATTGGACACAGGTTGTATCGGCAACATTGGACCCAACAGAATGAGTGTCTCCGAGCTGTAACTATTTCTCCAATATTTGGTGAGGGGTCACTTTATACCTCTCGAGACTATAAAACACAGGAGCAGAAGGATGCCATTCAGTCTACCGAATCTGCTGAGCCATTCAGTGAGATCATGGCAGATCTGATAACCCTCAACTCTCCTGCCTTTTTTCCTATAATCCTTGATTCCCTTGCTGATTAAAAATCTGTCTTTCAGCCTTGAATACATTAAATGACCCAGCCTCAACAATTCTCTGCAGTAAAGAATTCCATAGATTCACCACTTTCAGAGAAGAAATTCCTCCTCAGTGGTTAACTATTTTTATACTGTTCAAATTGTTGTACTGTTTAAACGTTTCACATGAATAAAATTACGTTGAACCAATTATAATGGCTTTGGGCTAATATGCAAAAACAACAGCAGAATCAAATAGAACACAGGCAGTAAACGATAACTCAATCAAAAAGGGAACATATACATTTTTTTCTGAAGAAGGGTCCAGACCCGAAACGTCAGCTTTCCTGCTCCTCTGGTGCTACCTGGCCTGCTGTGTTCATCCAGCTCTACACCTTGTTATCTCAGACTCCAGCATCGGCAGTTCCTACTATCTCTGATATACATTATCTCATTTTCTTAAAAAAGCAAAAAGGAAATACCCTTTCATCTGTGCCTGAGGGCCACAACTGCAAAGGGGAAATAGTTCCTGCAATCTGTCCACCCATCCTCAAGTGTAAGGACGTCTGTGACAAGTTGACAAACAACTGTTAACTGGGGTCTTAACTAAAGACATTGAAATAAAAAGTTACAGGACTTCCAGTAGTAGGTGGCGACAATCTGGAACAGCCAAACATTCTCGCTGGAAAAAAATGCGTATTCAATCGAAAGAGGGCTGATGGAAATGGACAGAAGATCTCTCAGCCCAATGTAATCCATAGGCCTCATTCCATGAACACACTGTAAACACTTCCTTGTTTATCATTATTGCCCCTTTCGGTTTGTAATTGTCTTGTGCCAGTGGAATGTAGAACTTCTGCTTCATGATCTTTGGACAAGGCTTGTGATCAAATCTCTTGCTGCCTTTCCAGTGGCAGGATTCCACAGCAGAGGCATCAAGCCATGGTAGATAAAGTTGGAAGGCATCTGGCCAAGACGGCACAGATGGTAGGAAGTTGAAACTTGCAATGTCCATGATGTCACAAAATGTAAATAAAACATTAGTACTGTCTATTTTTAAAATGGTGGAAGCCCTCAACCAATTAGCTAAACTACAAACAATTGTATTCCTTGGAGGCATAACGTTGATATATCCAATTTTGGGAGATATGAATCAAACCAAAAGAGAGATGTTTGTAGTTTACATTACACTAAGCTATTCACTCATGTGATCATCAGCTATCTTTGATTTTGTCATGTTTTGATATAAATTCCACTAACTGCTGAAGCAATGCACTAATCATCTATGTAATTTTAATGATAAACCATTGTCTCACGCATTGAGAAACTTTATTATTAGTTGTGGATTCACTGAACATTTGCTGCCCATTATTAGTTGCCCTAGTAGGTAGGTGGCTGTGAGTTGTCTTCCTGAATGACTACAGTCTATTTGGTCTAGATACCCCCACAATGCTGGAATAGGGATGGATTTTTAGGATTTCGACCTAGGAACATCTAAATACATATTTCCAAGTCAGGTTGGCAAGTGTCTTGGACAGGAACGTGGAGGTAATGCTATTTCCATGTATCTGCTGCCCTTGTCCCTCTGGACTGTATTAGCCACGGGTTTGAAAGGTGTTGTCTAAGGAGCCTTCCTGAACTTATGCAGTTCATCTTATGGATGGTATACACACCTGCACTACTGCTTCGGGAATGGTGAGACTGAATTTTTTTGGGGATGTGGTGCCAATCATGTGGGCTATTTGTCCTGGACATGTCAGGCTTCTTTCATGTTGTTGGAGAAGTACACTCCTGACTTTGTGCTTTGTAGTTGATGAACATGTTTTTGGGCATCAGGGGATGAATTATCTGCTGCAAGATTCCTAGACTGTGACCTGCTCTTGTAGTTGCAGTATTTATATGGCTGGTCCAATTCAGTTTCTGGTCAATGATAACCCCCAATTGCAACAATTTGTAACTGAATAGCAACATATTTGCCATCAATCAAAAGATGATACTATGAATTATAAAATGAACAGAAAATAAATGAAATATTATTGTAGAGATTGTTAAATCAAAGTGGGTGGGGAAAATATATATCCTCATAATGTTTGTTCATAACAAAAGGTACGGAGTAAACTTTACATTTACATGATTTAAAGGCTGAATCCTAACCATTACTGTCAGCTTAATTGCATGAAACCTTAAAAACACTGACAAATAAAACATTGCTGTTCCATGAGTTTGTCATATCTGAGTAGACAACAGATAAAAATAGAATCATTCTGAAAGAATTGTGCACTTTAAAGCATGCAGGAGCTTTAAAACCCCAAAGTTTTGGTGTTCAGGTTTTCAATCAATCATAGCAAACGTATAATTGGTTTTCATCCTAAGGCAGGACAGTTATTTTCTCAGTACTCAGAAAGGAATTATTGGTTGAATGTTTTACAGGAGATATTACTATGGAAACCCTGTGCTCAGCTAAACAAATAGTTGTGTATAATGTAAGAAGGGACATTGTATGTCAATAGGAATGATCATATGATGTACTTTTCCATTACAGCAAAACATCCAGGTTGGTCAATGAAGTCCCAAGCCAGTTCTAAATCAAAGGACCACAAATTGGGTACGTGTTTTCTGCAGGCACTTTAATAGGACAGTATAACAGATAATCATTTTTGCACGCCCTTTGTCTGCACATTTATATGGGGCAGTATAAAACTTCCTCAGGATCATTCTTGTAATCATACAATAGCTTTAAGAGGTGTATTTTGTCCTTTTTTTTTGATGAGACGCTTTAAGACAGAGGTGGTGAGCAATCTACTCATAGCCACTAGAGTAAACAGTTTGTGAAGTCTTGTTTTTTTTTAAGTTGGAACAATAGAAGCAGCCTGAATGGGTGGGGTCAAGCTCCTACACATCCAGGATTTTTAGTTTCAATTTTTCAAAAACAGCTGCTGGTATGTTGAAGCTGGATGTGGAAGCTGTGTTTCCTTTCTCAGTTACAGATAAAAGCTGGGGGTTCTGCTCCTGCTGTTAGGGTGCATGTGAGGCAATCTGTTTTTCTGAATTTACCTTTATCAATGGGTGTATTTATGGGATGTTACTAAATCTGAACAGTTACTGTTTAGTAGTTAAGTCATCTATTATTCTGTTAAATTTTCCAGTAGAGTTGTTTTTCCAATTTCTTTTTTTCTTTTGCGATATTTTAACTATGGTGTAGGAATAAAGTGTGGTTTTGCTTAACGTTGAATAGTTTGACCAATCAAATTTCATCTGAAATGCAAGACCTTTCACTTACCTTTAAAGTAAGAAAAAGTTAGGGTCTAGACTATCTTCTGAATATATGTGTTATGGACCAGACCAAGCTCCCTCAAAATATATTCAAACGATAGGCTAGACCCTAACTTTTTCTTATTTTAAAGGTAAGTGTAAGGTCTTGCATTCCAGATGCAATTTGATTGGTCAAATCACTTGACTTTAAGCAAATAACACTTTATTCATACACTATTGTTAAAATACAATAAAAGAAAGAAGAAATTGGAGTTACTTTATAAGAAAACTTAACTGAATAATACTTTAGAGATAACAAGGTGTAGAGCTGGATGAACACAGCAGGCCA